AATAAAACAATGGTATTAGTCATATTAACCAGGAATAATGAAACAATGGTATTAGTCATATTAACCAGGAATAATGAAACAAGGGTATTAGTCATATTAACCAGGAATAATGAAACAATGGTATTAGTCATATTAACCAGGAATAATGAAACAATGGTATTAGTCATATTAACCAGGAATAATATTATTTGATCTAGAGTGCATAACACATAAGTGTGAAACAATAACTAATAATTCATTGAGGCATAAACAAAGACAATTTACTTTCTGACATTGTGTTCATACCCCAGTGAATATTGTTAGCTATTTGATAACTAAATCTTATTAGGTGTTGATTACTTGTTTGATACAACTTACTTATACTGACAAAGTATTAATCAGTGAAGGTTACATTGTATATATGTTAATAATAGTGTTACATACCATAACACTGAATCACACCACTAACTAATCTTGTGTTGATTGTTTCTCCATTTCTTTCTCTCTCAATAAGTCTAAGGACAGCATTTGTGACCTAAACACAATTATCATGTCTTACACACACACCAATAATATATTAAATGTTATGAGGATATATTTTTGATAAGTGAAAATGTGAAACAAATAGTATTAATTACAACTAAATCATATTAATTCTAATCAATATTTTAATACATTAATTAACATAATATTTTTCTATGCACCTTTTTGTTTGTATTTTGTAAATGGGTAATAATTAACTTTATAATACTGAATTACTTACCTGTTTGTTTAATGGTTTAAATAGAGAATCTCTCCATGTTACAAGGGCAAGCTACAAAAAATAAACATTTCTTGATTCATTGAATAGGAATATTGTCAATTATAATCAACAAAATTTACCTATATTCTCATATTTACAAAATAAGTCAAACCACTCTTACCGAGTAGATTTCATAAATTCCTTTTCTTCCCTCGTCACATTCTCGTCTAACCCAGTGTCGATTTAAGTATGCACAGACACCATTAAGTACTTTGCTTGAAAATCTATAGTCTTCCCATTGGCTGGAATAGAACTTGAGAACTGATTCATCCATCAAGTCAGCTCCATCCTGAATGTCATACAATATACATAGATAGATTAAAAAAATCCGTAAAATAAAATCATCATTACAAAGAATTTTTACAGAGATTGAAGTATGGATACCTTACAAATCTATCAATTATATTCTAATTATGGTGTAAAAACTACATTTTTTTACAAAATTGAGTAGCATGTTTTCATTAACTGAGTGGGAGTAGGACTGGTACAAAGGTCGGACCAAGAGACAATCTGTATGGCCTGACTAAACTCAGTAAATAAGTATTTTATTATATAACCCAATATTATAAAAAGGCAGAAAAATTGACAAAAAAGAACAAAAAAACATTTCTTTTTAAGGTGAGGTAGATACAGGTTTTCCCTAACCAACTCAATTCATTATGATCTGCTCCAGCTCACCCCACCATTTTTCAAAGGAGAGCTGGGACAAATACCAGTCATATGATAATCACAAATTGAATCACATTTCATCCTCAATGGCTTTCAACTACATATAGTTTTCTAACCTAATTGAATAAAATGACAGAAAGCTCATTTAATGAATATTAAAATATTAGAAAATTGATTAGCTATTAAAGTCATGTGTTACCTTTTGTAAGTTATCTAAATATAATTTGAGAAATTGCCTCAAAGTCTTGTATAGTTCATGACCTACAAACTGTGCACCTAAAATATAAAGCAAAGAATATTTAGTGAAAAGACAGCTAACAGAAAAACAGCATTTTCTAAAATATATTTACATTGAGCAAAAAACTAAAAATAATAATGTCAAACAACAGACACAGATCACAGAAACATTTGCTTTGTCCATTTACAGGTCTTATTTTTTGTGATGCTACATGTCCACAATTATTTAATGAAAAACTATTAAAAAAAAGAAGTAAATCTAAATTAATTATAATTCAGTTACCAAATGGTCAACTCTTACTAAAATGTTTTTACAAATAATTTTCAAGTGCCAAAAGAGATGTGCAAAAAGAGTTTTAAAACTTACCTCCTTGATTTGGTACCTTCTTATGTTTAGATACCCTAGATTGGGACTGCTGATGAACACTGGTACAATAGTTATATACATGACTAAGAGCACTGTTAAGGTTTTCTAAACAATTTGTCATAGAAACAAACACAACAATGACAAAACATAACCTTCAATTGATAATAAATAAATAAGCTACAGCAAGTATCTAAGGGATTTGCCAAAATATATATTCATCGAAAGATATGATTATAAAAGGAGGATAAGCTTGATAGGACATTTTTACTGTATTATTATAATAATATGAAAGTCCTATATTCTTTTACATGTTACTAAATAAAGGAGTGGAGACTGATAACAGAAAAGAAAATAACCAGCAAAATTTAAAGTTTTAGGTTTCCCCCTCCTGGTAAAAAGATCATAAATAGTTGAGAAAGTATACTAATAGGTACATCAACCACGAATTATTGATACTTATCCCTTGCTATTGCATTCAATTCAGCAAAAAGTCATTTCTAAAGAAAAGGATACGTGTAGAGTTCTATATATCTTGTTTTTGACATACTCTGCTGTTGATAAACGTGTTGTATACCTTCTTTAAGGTCATCCCAAATCTCTTCTAAGTTTATCTGTCTCATGCTATGAGGATTCTGAGGCCGAGACATAGTATGAGTTCAATGTCAATGTTCAATGAAAACCTCAAAGGTTTTGAATGAACAGAAGGTACTTGCGGTACAACGAACTTGTAAAAAATTTTGACGAGTTCAAAGAAATTATCCGTTGAACCAATTTCTTCTCACAAGTAAATCTCAATGCAGACTCCTCCTATCAGGAAAGCAGTTTTTAGAGTGAAATACAACACCGAAATCTCATATTTGCTGTGTAAAGTTTCAAAAGATGCGATGATGTTATGGACAGAATCTCACTAACAAACTGTCCACGAACAACGGCTTTTTTGCACGCCAAACTAAACAGCATCAGTGTAAAAGATCCACCACAACGGCCACCATCATCCAAACTATACCACCGCCTAACCTATTCCAGCATAACCTTGAAGATATATAGAAACAAGAGATTTTACCAAACTTTAACTACAGTTGTTTCGTGTCTTCATTTCCCTTGTCGAGAAAAAATGGCGGCTCCCTGTGACGTCATGCACCTCAATGCATGCTGGTTATNNNGTGAGGTAGATACAGGTTTTCCCTAACCAACTCAATTCATTATGATCTGCTCCAGCTCACCCCACCATTTTTCAAAGGAGAGCTGGGACAAATACCAGTCATATGATAATCACAAATTGAATCACATTTCATCCTCAATGGCTTTCAACTACACATAGTTTTCTAAACTAATTGAATAAAATGACAGAAAGCTCATTTAATGAATATTAAAATATTAGAAAATTGATTAGCTATTAAAGTCATGTGTTACCTTTTGTAAGTTATCTAAATATAATTTGAGAAATTGCCTCAAAGTCTTGTATAGTTCATGACCTACAAACTGTGCACCTAAAATATAAAGCAAAGAATATTTAGTGAAAAGACAGCTAACAGAAAAACAGCATTTTCTAAAATATATTTACATTGAGCAAAAAACTAAAAATAATAATGTCAAACAACAGACACAGATCACAGAAACATTTGCTTTGTCCATTTACAGGTCTTATTTTTTGTGATGCTACATGTCCACAATTATTTAATGAAAAACTATTAAAAAAAAGAAGTAAATCTAAATTAATTATAATTCAGTTACCAAATGGTCAACTCTTACTAAAATGTTTTTACAAATAATTTTCAAGTGCCAAAAGAGATGTGCAAAAAGAGTTTTAAAACTTACCTCCTTGATTTGGTACCTTCTTATGTTTAGATACCCTAGATTGGGACTGCTGATGAACACTGGTACAATAGTTATATACATGACTAAGAGCACTGTTAAGGTTTTCTAAACAATTTGTCATAGAAACAAACACAACAATGACAAAACATAACCTTCAATTGATAATAAATAAATAAGCTACAGCAAGTATCTAAGGGATTTGCCAAAATATATATTCATCGAAAGATATGATTATAAAAGGAGGATAAGCTTGATAGGACATTTTTACTGTATTATTATAATAATATGAAAGTCCTATATTCTTTTACATGTTACTAAATAAAGGAGTGGAGACTGATAACAGAAAAGAAAATAACCAGCAAAATTTAAAGTTTTAGGTTTCCCCCTCCTGGTAAAAAGATCATAAATAGTTGAGAAAGTATACTAATAGGTACATCAACCACGAATTATTGATACTTATCCCTTGCTATTGCATTCAATTCAGCAAAAAGTCATTTCTAAAGAAAAGGATACGTGTAGAGTTCTATATATCTTGTTTTTGACATACTCTGCTGTTGATAAACGTGTTGTATACCTTCTTTAAGGTCATCCCAAATCTCTTCTAAGTTTATCTGTCTCATGCTATGAGGATTCTGAGGCCGAGACATAGTATGAGTTCAATGTCAATGTTCAATGAAAACCTCAAAGGTTTTGAATGAACAGAAGGTACTTGCGGTACAACGAACTTGTAAAAAATTTTGACGAGTTCAAAGAAATTATCCGTTGAACCAATTTCTTCTCACAAGTAAATCTCAATGCAGACTCCTCCTATCAGGAAAGCAGTTTTTAGAGTGAAATACAACACCGAAATCTCATATTTGCTGTGTAAAGTTTCAAAAGATGCGATGATGTTATGGACAGAATCTCACTAACAAACTGTCCACGAACAACGGCTTTTTTGCACGCCAAACTAAACAGCATCAGTGTAAAAGATCCACCACAACGGCCACCATCATCCAAACTATACCACCGCCTAACCTATTCCAGCATAACCTTGAAGATATATAGAAACAAGAGATTTTACCAAACTTTAACTACAGTTGTTTCGTGTCTTCATTTCCCTTGTCGAGAAAAAATGGCGGCTCCCTGTGACGTCATGCACCTCAATGCATGCTGGTTATCTAATTTGTGAACAGGGAGAAGTCAAAAATATGGATGGGAAAAAGAAATCAGATGGAAAGTACTCAAGAGATGCCAGCAAAATTTATTAGAAACAACAAATTTTAGGATTAAATTAAATTAATTCACACAGAAAACTCACCTGAGGGGACAGGAAAACAGAAGGCCAGGTTACTAGAAGTCCACTTGTAATTACACAGGGTACCCGCACAGGTATTACGGTAAGAGGACCTCGGATAAATGGGATCACGTTTAGGGATATGGTAAAAGGGGTAAAAACTTTCCATGGCTACGGACTATCTGTATTGCTTCAGTAGAGGTATACATAATGATTACAGGCAGTAATCCGTCGGGAAAACGAGAGAGCATCATTCCGGGTTCCAACAAAGGATCATTTAGCGTGTGACCAAGCAATGGGAAGTTCGTGGCAGTTCGACTAAAAAGTGGAGAAATGATCCTTGAACATTTTGAAGTGATCGAACGAGCCCGACTGGGTGTGGTTCGTTGTGGTAAAATAGTAATGATATATAGTAATAAAACAAAACAACACTGAATCACACACACACAAAAATGATTAACTTTTATATCAGTTCACATAGCCTACAAATTTTGATTAACATCATTTAAACACAAATACGATCTACTGTAGGAATGAATATTATTAATGTATTGCCAATATACTATTCTTTGAGCACCTTAAGCATTTTCAGGCACTTGCGAGTTAAGAAATATTCATTTCATTAAAGTCTTTATAAGTGTCTTAGTTTATGGAAAGGGACGGACCATTAGATTATGTTTGCATACTGAATACATATAGCGCCATGCTGTCAGCGTATAGGATATTCCTAAACATTGACAATGGATAGTATTCCTAACAACACAAAAGCTCTCATGGTCAAGATACCGACTTTAACCTCTAAATGCTATGACAAACATCAATTCATCTTATAAGGGAGCCTGCCCTTGGCGCAGAGTGCAGCCGGCCACATCGTTTCCAGACTGGCCCAACTACAATTTGACGTTTTACAAGAATATATTAATCTAAAAAAGCTGTTTTACTTCCATAAGCAATAACTTAAAATGCAATGTCCATTTTGGCCGTTCCAATTCATAGCATAGTTCACAGGTATCCTCACTAGAACCAGTCTCCTGATCCAACACTCGARGTGAGGTCCTCATAGACRTAGTATACCAAATAACTGGACATAAGGATTTTGCCAGGATTTTGGATTGGTCTGTTATCAGTCCCATTTAATAATGCTCGGTATTGAATGGTGTTTTTAGTACTGCCGAACCTGGAAAACCTAACRTATTCACTTATGTCGACTTGCCATGGGATAACTTCCTGACCATCGCAAAATGGTTCACGAGAACGCATCCATTTACTCTTTGCGTTCTCTGAAGCAAGATCCGCTTGACATCCCAACGATGTGGCAGAGTTTTTGTATAACCTTGTTTGGATARAATCAGTATTATTATTGATTATGAAGCGATGAGTTGTTAAACAGCTTCCTGCGCAGTTGTTGTTGTCATGACCATGTCCAGTGATTGTTGCGACAAGTTTTACCCGAGCGATCTTTGAAGGGACATTAAATGTGATCGGTGAATAACCCTTGTTACAGTTTTCATCAAAAAAGCAGCCCGTGAAAAGACTTCTAATCTGAACGGGGATAAGTTCTTTCTCAATTTGATTCCATGAATTAAAGGACATGTCTGCAAAACAATTTGCAACAGAAATGGTAAGTCATACAAAGATGAAGAACACACAGCAGCTGRCAAAACAACGGCTACAGCATGTACCAGTTTTAAATATGTGTCAATCTCTTGCCTCGTTTTATAAGTCATAACAAACAAATATGTATGAGGGAACGTCTACACATGAAACAATATAGAGGGTGGGCTTTTACCACTCGGAGATGTATTCCRATAGGGCTTGTTCAAAACAAAAAAAGAAAACGAGGACATAGCGCAAATTGGTGTAGATAACTCCCACTCAAAGACTGGTATACTTAACATTACGCCCTATAAAGGCCAGTACTTACTTTTGTTGAATTTTTCATAGAACCTGAGTTTTACTGTTATAAGCCACGGTTGAACTGAGCTCTCAGTTATGAGGGAGAATCTACAAGTGTTGTTGGTCTTCAAGAGTGGTAGCATACTTCTGATAGGGGTTATCCAAGACATACCTCTCCTATTGAAAATAAACAAAGGTTTTATTTCACAGATGATAGAGATTTGTTGTTCCTGGATGCACTCTTTGATCAAAATTTTCTCAGTTTTACATGCAACCTCAAATGGACATCCAGAGAAGGAGAAAAGAAGGAGAAAAAAAATCGAGTGTGACGTGTGGAGTGTATGAACCTTTCAAAAGCAGCTATCCATCGAGTTAATTCGTTATTAATCTTCCCATCACAGCTGATAAATAGTCTAATCACGTGATCCCATCTTGTACAAGCTCTTGGTCCAGTACCAGGACATCGTAGAGACATTTCAACCTCAACGTTTTGATACAGCACAAGCTCTGGAACAAACGAATTCAATAATCAATCACTTCAAACATACCACACCAAATCACATCAGGAGGTTGGAAAAAGAATGTCATTTTGGCGGGATACTAAACGATACACACAAGCATACAAGTCATGCTGAAGATCATTAATGATGCTACCTTTGTATGAAGGAACAGCTACATCTGTAGACGATGTAAAGGTTCCATCGGTTGAAGGCGTTAACAGGTGATCTTTAAATATAGTCAAAATCTTTCCATCTCCAGTGGTATTCTTGACAAATTTAGTCAAATAATTAAACCTAAAAATAACGTCAGACTTAGAGAATATCCTACTGGCTTATCCATGAAATTCCATCAAAAGTGTCTTACCACTGTGCCTGGTAGCCAGCAAAACGCATGCTGGGGTATAAAAACCAGTCAGTCTCTTGCACTCGGCCTTGGCCATCTATACCAAATGTGAACGTATCTGAGGGAGTGGTCTGGAAGCGAATATACGCTTCATCAGGAGGTATAGGTTGCTGACCTACAAAGGCGCTATACTGATCGTAGATGACGCAAGCAGGGATTGAAAGGTACGTCTCGCATTCTGTACCATAACAGTCAAGCTCTTTTGGGATGTCTTTGTCATAGAAGATAACACCAATAGCGCCATTTTCCTGTGCATATTTTACCTAAAACGAAATCAAAAAATTGAGAACTCTAAACGATGTAGTGCCTGGAGCTATATTTAGTATCTCTTGGATCCGATATGTACAAAGCGCCAAGAACCACCCCTTTACCAAATATGTCTTAAAAATAGGTTTTTAGTAGTTTTCTACTTATTACTACTAATTACTATCTACTGGGTGTTAATCGCGCCCTACATCGCAGCACGGGTGCTGAATTTTGATAGACGGCGCTCGATGCGCTACTCAAGTCGAAACACTATTACAGAAACATTTTATATACACTAACACAGAGGCGTGCTGCTAGCTAGACCCTTAGTACATAGCAAGTATTTATCTAAGACAAAAAAAAGGCACCATGGCAACATACCTTAGCAAACGCGGAACATTTACCAGAGCCAATGTGAACTAGTGCCAATCTGCCTCGGACATCCACGTTAAAAACTGGTGCGCATGCGTTGACAATGGAAACTAGCATATAACGCCTGGACCCAAGGTTATCAAATGAAGGTAGCCATGTATACCTTGCGTCAAGACGTCGCATTACACTTTGTACGTTTCCTAAAAACAGAATGCATTCAAATGTACGTTTAGGATCGTGTTTCGGGCTGCTTTGCGAACAACAACCATGCATTATTCATTTCTGGCCTTATTATTCATATATATGATTTTTGGTATATATAGATGTTTATAAAAGGTTGTTAGAGTAGAACGGTGATTGTACGACCGAAAGTCATTGTGAAAATATACACAGTTTGTTCGGTACCATGATGCATTTATTCATTTCTTAATAAAATAAAATAAAAAATGATGCACTATTCATCATGACGTCATCAAGCTGGACGACCATTGTCACGTGTTATGATAGATACCTTGATTTTGACAAAAGTCATTTAATCAGGTACTACTAAAAACCAGTCTTACCAGTTTCGTTCTCTATGGATATTTGTTGGAGTCCACAAAATGGTCCATAGCAGTGCAATTGAGAGAGAACTCTTGGTATCCAGTTTCCTAGAAGGTGAACCGTGAATCTCACAAAGTGGAGCCTGGACATGTAGCCTTCTAAAAATTGTTGAGTCGAAATATGCTTAAATTTGTAGTTTTTCATGGGCTGCAGCCTTCTTTTCTCCATGACTGTGTACCTACGCCTGAAAAGYAATGAAAGTAACAGGTCAAAGGGGATAACAACGTGGATTTTACTGTCTTGATCCGGCAGTGAGTATCAAGGATTCCTCGTCATTGAAGAGAGGAGACAGGGGAGGGCCCTTTCGCACAAAAGTCTCAATATGACGTCACAACCATCAACATGACGTCATAGAAGAGTATTGTTATAAAAGAATCGATGAGAAATTATTCAACTAAATCATTTCTTAATTGATGAAGTTAAGTGTGATCCAACTACAGTTTGCAATGCAAATTTCAATTTTTGCAATTTTCATATTAATTTTTAATCAATTGACTTTGAAAGGGGGGTCACGTGCTTCCTTTGGTGCTCTAAATACAGCCCTAGAATGGTCTTACTCAAAAGAACTGACGACGAGGCTCTGTGTAGACCACAGAATACATCTGTTGCTTCACCTTCTCCAGTTTTGTGCGTGGTTACCAAAATATTTAAATTGCCGGCTATTTGCAGTGCTTGCTAGCAAGTAACTCGTAGAATTAGAAGGGATTAAGAAGACAAAAGGGAAGTATTTTTGTTTTAACGGTTTAAGCCAGAAGTACATGTGTATGTGTATGCATAACCTTATGTTTCTGCCCTTATCCGCGATGTTTTATTTCTGGCTCTCGAATTCATTTGTCTTTTCTTTGGTTCTCGACTTGCGTTTGCATTTCAGCTGCTTAATGCAAGATTCATGACATAAGGGTTAGTCACGTGTAGTCTCAATGTACACGTGGTCTAACACACGCCCTTCTGTCTCTGCGCAGTACGACGTTTTCATGTTTATGGAGCCTACATGACGAAATTCACGATTAACTTGAAGTCAAAATAAATACACATTATCTATAAGACCATCTATCTTGGGTTAATCACGTACCACGATTGTAGAATTTGAAGAACTTTCTCGAATGAAAGCCAAACTGCGCAGAATTCGACAATTTATCAAGACCTGAATAGTGTTGAAGTGTCAGGCTGTTAATTTACCATTATGCTCAGTATTTAATACCTCACCACATAGTGGTTTAGTTTCATATTTTTTTTTTCTGTTGACTTATGTTTCCAGTCGACTTTGAACTTTGTACATCCAGCTGTCAGATGTATTCTGACACAATTAGACACACTCTTTGTTCTCATGTCATGTACAAAGACAATCAAAATACAAGTAGGTGTCGAGATAATTATCGTTGACAAGAAAATCATTTAACTTGATTATTAGAATTGATGACTTTTGGTATACGTGCTCTGSTTAGAAAGATGACAAAGTCCTTGGGGCTTAAGCCATGTTTGCACTGCACCGATTTAAGACCACAGCAATGAAAATGCTTTCTTACTTGGTTTGTTAACCCTTTACTTAAAAGTATTGAGATTCCATCTTTGGTTTAAGCTCTTTAATTTGAAAATCCGTCACGTTTGTTACTTTTGCGTATGATAGAAAACCCGCAAAGTATCAGGCATGTTCTCAAATAAAGCACGCACAAGGCATAGGTGGTTTGCTGTATAAAACGTCATTAGAATACCCTAATTGTAATGACGACACAAGAGTCATATCAAAACCCACGTGACAATACAATGATATGTGCTTTTTCAAGTTCAAGTAATAAAACATGATTAATTCTTGCAGCTAATAGGTTGATTAGAATTTACCCTTTTTTGGCTTTGCGTCAACAAATACCTATTCAATGAGACTTCCAGCAACGATTTTAAATTGTTTTGCATAGTTCTAGTGTTTACTGCTTTTACGAGGGTTTCCGGTACATTTCCCGACTCCTATTGTCAAACTAGGGAGATAAATGTGTTGAACAATCTATCATACGCAGGAGTTCACATTTGTCGAGTTCAACTAAAGCAAATGAGAGACCGTTTTAGTGACGGGAAAAAAACACATATGAGATACGACGTATGAAACAAGCTCATAAGATTGTCCACTCACCACTTGTGAAAGTTATACTGAGCAAATCCCGATATGAGCTTGTCCTTCAAGGCATGGCCATTGTCTTTACCACCAGATAGATCCAATCGTGCGTTCTCGTAAAAAATAAAGACGTATTGAGTATTGTCGGGAGAATACTCGCACAGGTCATTCATAAACTGTCCAGGATCCAAAAACATATTCTCCATGAAAGCAGACTCGTTCGAAAACGCAAAAAAGATAACAGGCACATTTAGGTTTGGTTGATGGCCTTTCTTGAACGTCAACAGCCCTTTTTGTGTTTGCAGGCTAAAACCAGGAGCTTCATCACCAGTCTTGATCCAGGGGATTGGACCAGCCTGCGATATTGTAAACCACGACACCAAGAAACACAAGACAAGCTTCATCATTCTATCACATGCAAAGTGTGTGCTATCAATGAGAATTAGCCTTGTTATACAGGCCCCGAGTTGAAAATGATATCTGAACAATGATGTCAATCGAACAAAGAGGCGTTGACTGATGTCAAATCTCTTATACCGAGTTGGTAAATATTTGGTAAAGCGATTGATCCTTGGAAGTGTTGATTGTTTCTATGCTCGCTTCTTTAAGCACAGATAAAATCTTCTGTGTATCGCGATTACAAGAAAATATTTTCAGGAAATTTGCGGTTAACACTTTTGCCAACGATTAGAAACTAAGCGGTGTGTATCCTAAGGCACGCGACTGGGCGACCTTTTTGGGGTGTTGCACAATATACCAGTGCATGTATTGGTCTTTTTTTCTCTTTTAGACGAAACTTAAACTAACAAGTTGCGACCTTAAATATATGAAGGTCGACAAAACAATGGACAATAGTAATAAATCTTTTCAACAAGTCGGTGATGTCATCGAGTATATAAACCACTTATCACCAGTCGAGTTTCACTTTTCAGTATTCACTTTAATTACAGACTATTTTTGGCTATTAGAATTAGAAATAGCTTGATAATATATATATATATATTTTGATTAGCGGTACTTATTAAAGGATTGGTCAGCTAGCTATCTCCAAATAWGGGGAAAGTGTTTAAGCGCGAGTACACGACAGTCAATTGTGAAGTATTYAAGTTCCAATTCCTGAAAAATAAACCGAACCTAGTTGAGCTATGGCTCAAGGTGATGATATAGGGATAAACTACCTTATTTGTACTAATTTTTGGCGGGAACTTAATTTCGCGAAATCTGAGCTGCTGTATCACATTTCGCGAGCATCAATTTTCTCGTTTTTTGCCAAATAACTGCTTTGAATATTTGGACACTTTCTGCGTAAGCCATTCTTTGCKGGTCTTTAAATTAAGGAAGTTTAGTACGAGAGGTAGAATAGTCATGTTATTCGATCCGCCAAAAGCATTTATTTTTGGCCTCTCTCCAAGAGTAATAAAGAACGCGGAAAAAATAGAAAATTGAAGGACTAGTTGATAATCGAGGGTCAAACAATCCGATAGTGATGATATTTTCAGTGGATTATAGAGCATCTAACATTTGCTAAATGAAATAAGATATAGGGGAAATCTAGGGTCAAATCACAGTCAAGAGTTTTTAAACAAAATCTCAAGCAATCTTTTATTACCTTCTTACACTGAGAAGTACCTAGCCATTATTTACTTCTGCTTCTTAATAACACGCGTAATGTCAAAAACTCTTACTCGAAGAAACACATCATATTGTCAGTATGTACTTACGGCAATAAGCAAAATGAAAGAATGACTAAAAGAAGGAAGGTAGGAATGAAAAATAGATGGAAGGACGGCTAGAAGAAAAAAGGTAGGCCAAGAATAAGGACTGGAGAAAGAAGGGTGKAAATGAAGACATGGCGAGGGACCGTTACGTTAGATAAATGCTGCCGGCACAGTATCAAGTCTAAGTAGCAAACGTGGCGGGGTCTGCGCTAAACTGACTTTACACCGCCGTGAACCGAACACAACAGAGTCAGTGATAGAAAATTTAGGAGCTGGAAGGGAAAGATGGGACGAAGAATGAAAAAAACTGATAGGTTAAAATGAAGTGAGATTGTCAGTCTAGGGATGATGAAATATCCCAATTATCTATTAATTATTAACATTAGTCTTTGAGGAATGTGAGTAATTGATGCATCCTGGTTAGTGTGTGGTTTATGAAACTACAATTGTAGCTAATCTCAGCGACGCTGTTTAATAAAACATTAGCATGASTCTTCTTTCCACTAGATTTAGAGATCTTTATTTCTTTGCATTATCTAGGAAATCCTAAGCGGTCCCAAAATGAAAATAAATWCATAAAGCTAGAAAGTCTTAATGATCAATTGAAGAAGATTAAAAATCAAAACAAAAAAACAAAAAAAAACACACAAAAAAAAAACACACATATTTGTACATACTATATAAAAAGGGTTTGATAATATTTGCTAATATTCAAATTAACTTTAAACCAAACTATTAATCTATTAAGAATCAAAAAAACTCCAACAGAAAATAATGAAGTAATGTTGATAAAGCAGGTGTATAATTAATGACGATAACAAAGAATGCGTTGAAGACACAACTTGTACACTCGAGGAATCTTCCGATGCTTCCCCAACAAAATATGATAAGATGTCGTTTGTTCGGTTCGCCTTCAAACCCGAKCACAGTTTATTGTCGTCCCTCACCGTTACACTTGATGTTTGTGTTRGTAATTGTATTATTACTATACAACTGGATTCTTCTGCAATTCGAAAAGGTTCACGAGCGTCAAATCAAACCCATAGATGACCTCCTTGAATGGAATATCACCAATGGATCGTATCAAGACAACAACTACAAGTTGTTTAGAAGGACCAAGGTYGTTTCTCATTTTGGAGATTTCTCTTGTAAGCCTTCGGTTCGATGGAGGAAGTGTGCATTCCAAAYCACTGATATCAGACAAGCTACACAGTTTTGCGATAGGTTTGGAGAAGCATGCACAGCGTTTGTTTTAAAGTCAGAAAATGGACGACTTATAKCAGTCCTTAAACACAGTGTACCACGATTGGAAACCGACAAAAATGCAGCATTGTTCGTTAAAAAATCATTTCTTCCTAAGCTTGAAGTCCTACGTAATCTACTTCGTGAATCAAAAGCAAGGAAAGATTGATTGTAGTTGAACTAAATAAGGACAAAACACTTAGCAAACTATATCAGAAGATTGTCTTTAGAAGATAATTTGAATTGTAAAGGTTGAACTAGCGAAATATATGGCAAGTTCCTGAAGGTCCTGAAGTCAATCATAAAGACTTTGAAGTCAATTATAGAAGATTTACCACAAGATGAGGTTAAGAGTTAAAGCTTAAAAATGGCAAAAATTGTAACCCGCTATACATCKGGTTACCACAACCCGCTAAAACGGGTTGAGAACCATTCCATTTCCCTAAGTATATTTGTCCACCAACCCGCTACAACCGGTTACTCAACCCGTTATAGCGGGTTTGTTCTCAACCGGTTCATACAACGAGTTCAGCTGTAGCGACTTGCGCAACCGGTTGTAGCGGGTTGGTGGACAAGTATACTTAGGGAACTCGAATGATTCTCGACCCGTTGTAGCGGGTTGTGATAACCCGTTATAGTGGGTTACCATTTTTGCCATTTGTGTGGTGAACGATAGGCAATTTGACAGCAATTAGATCAGTGGCGGATCCAGGGGGGATTCCATGGGTTCCTAGGAACCCCCCTCGAGCATAAAAAAAATGATAAATGAAATGCGGGTGTCTTTACACTTGCTACAGTTCGAGAGGCACAGTAAAAAAGTTGGTTTTAGGAAAATGCGAAAACAAAGTGGAACCCCCCTTTGAAAAACCCTGGATCCGCCACTGTAGATACAGTAGAGCCCATTGCAAGTTATAAAGGCCTACTCCATAGCAGATAAAATAATGCACAGCGAAAATATCATTTCTAATTCTTTTAATAGTTATGAAGTACATCTTAGAATTTTTCTCTTGCTCAACATTTCTTCTCTAAAATAATTAGATAATACTTATCTTCACTTAGAAGAGGCCGCAACGAGTACAAAAAAGTACGCAACATTAGCGGTCATTGTGGGCCTATAAACGCGTGTTTCTTTTGATAATAAATTATCAAATACTAGTTATTAAACTCTTTTTATATAGAATGCTTTCCCCATTTCATTCAGCTCTTTTTCTTGTTGCTTTTTTTCTTCCTCTAACATGGCTTTCAATTTTGCTCGTCTAACCTAAAAACATTAAAATCAACCACTGTTTAAAKTTGTCCACAAAGCCTCGCTTTCATGCCTGTMCCTTCATAAAGAAAGGATGATTTTCATAAACGATGCGWGGATACTTAAAAATATTAAYTGATGTTGAAAAATCCAAGATAGCGACATACAAAGGAAGTTCTTGCAAGACTCAAAAATAATTGGCGCGAAACCCAACTATTTMTTGTGCCTCACGTAAGTCGTATGAATCAGTTTAACCCATAAAATACTCYGTGTCTCTATTGCTTTTACAATTGCTCWTTACATTAATAATCCACGTAATATCTAAAAAACAAACCTTACCAATACTATCTCTTTGTTGACACATTCCAATTCACCTTGAATCAACGACTTCTCATTCTTTTCACGTCGTTTTTCACTTTTCTTTAAAAAATAAAAAAAAAACAAGATAAATGTAACTTGTAAACCTTTCCTTGTGTCTGAATGTTCACATRGAAGAGGTTGTGTACAAGCGATGATTATACATTCGTTTTGTGTTTTCCAGGAAAAAAGTCATTTATGATCGATAGTCACGTACAAGAGATAGGAACATTGTATCCATCTGAACGGCAGCTAAAATACCGTGGAAGGAGGGAGAGGGATTTGGGGTTAGCCCGACTCGAAGGGAATGGGAAAGGGTTAATTAGGGATTTTTCAGTTTTTTAATAGTTAATTAGAAACAAACCAATCTTACCTCATCTAGATTGGAAAGCCACACAGATCGATTAAAATCTTTTGCAAATCTATGAAAAACCATTTCATTAATGAGCCTATCGACATTGATGTTATTTTTGTTTTATGATGGAAAGGAAGAAAATATACCCTGTATTTACGCCTTGTATCAGAGAACACAATGGCATTGCTATTATGACAAGCCTTCAGTATTTGCCATTGTACTTACGTGGCTTCTTCGCTAGTTCGCGAGGCTATTAATTCATCCATCTAAARGAAATTAGTAAAACGGTTAACTTTAAAGTCATTTCATTGACTAAATAAATAATAAATGATGAAAAAGACACTTATAGTTAGAAACTCAAAAGTTGTCTATGCTCAAAGAATGTCCTACAATTCACAGTCATTTCAAAAGTTTCCGTTGAGGTTGACAAAAGTATAGCAGGTACTAACCTGTATGCGTGTGTTCTGACTTTGCATTGCCTTTTTCAGCATCTTGCTATTGGGGTTGAATATTTCAAAGCGGTAGGTTGTAGTTAAGAGTCGTTCAGCCATCGTGATGGTTTTCGATATATTATTAGTGTGAGTCAACGAGGTTTTGTGTCAATTTATCAATAAATACACTTATTAATCCCGTTACCAAGGTGACAGCAAACGAATCTTGACTGTGAGTACATCACAATGAGATGGCTCATTGTTTAAAGTGATTATTGGCTGATAAACAATGACATGATGGTACTGTATTGATTGTTTTGAAGTCCTCCAAATAAACGCTTAACSACTAACGTAACCAAGCTAAACTATCATTATTTTTACACTAATATCATTGATATTCAACTTACTACTTTTGAGATAGCATTTTTACATTTTATAAAAATATTCTGRTATGTTATTTCTCCGTTATCTTTCGCACACGTGACAGAGAACTGCGGTTATACGTTTATTGACACGAAACAAGATCGKAGGAGCTCTATACAATGATTTTTAACACGATTTTCAAGTTCATAAAGTCTTTTTGGAATAMGTTGATCTGCAAACTGGACAAATATGTTGCTCATTGACAGCGAACTCCTCAAACGCCATGATACAAGTGACGTGAAAGACATGAGAACAAGATAGTAGTACAGTTGGTCGTTTTGATGCACCATCTTTGTACAAACCTTGTTGAGATAGTGGCATTATGCAGATAGGACAGTCCATTGTACAACGCTCCACAGCCTGAGGTCAAAACACATTAATTGATTAATGGGATAAATGGATTAAACAATGAGTGAATGGAAGAATGCAACCTTTAGTGCAACGTTTTGYTACTGCATTTCTTCTTTAGGTTCTCACGAAAACAAAACACACCACAGAAGGCAGCACAAAGACTTCAGATTAGTCAAAATATATGAAGGTGTTTCCCTTTATGTACCTTACCTTAAGTTGAATTTGCTCCCATTCACCTTCAGTGATGCATTGGAAATGCTGTTTACCAACTTGGCTGAAACAAAACCCTCAAATTAGACCAACTGAATCAGCAGGAATCTTGGACTCTTGTAAGCTTAAGATTAGGATGTTACCTCATTATATTTCTACTAGATGCAATGGATTCATCTATTTCACTCATTAGACGGTCAACGCTTTGACTGCTGGCTTCAGTTGAACACAAAAGGCGATCAGTAATACTCTGTAGCTGTTGAACAATAAATCAAATATCAATAAATAATCAGTAAGTTCTTATAAAAGATATCTATATTAATATGAAATGTTTGCAAATTCTAATCTTAAACTAATGTGCTACCTTATCTTCATAAAATCTTTTTCTCAAGCCAGGGTCATTAGGTGGAATAGTCTGTCTCAGGTTTGTATACCAGGAGTATACTACATAGCCCCTCCAGGCAGCTTGAATTCTGTGAATTATTAGTATACACAAATATAAATTACATTAAAAGTCAGCACTGTAAATATCCCTAAATAATTCTATTGTTTTCTGTTTTCTGTAGTAATGAATTGTGCAAATTATTGCACACTTTTGGTGTCTCTAGAAGAAAAGTGCCCAAAACTTTTGTAAGCTGTGCTCATATTTTTATTCCTCATATTTCATGTTTGTCTTTCTYTTTTGACTGGTTATTGGACTTTGTGACCAGTCTAATTAAACCATGAAATGGACAATACACTTTTTGGTTTGGCAGCATGCAGACCAATATTATACTCCATTATTTTCTTTTGTTTTTACAGGTTTAGGGATGCAATAAGGTGCTCCAAATAGCTGCTTGCAGTCTGTACACCACAAAGCCTGTCTGATTTCCAGATRGAGTTTAGGGAGTAAAGTGCTGGACCCAGTCCCATCAGGAAATCAGCTTAAACAAAGCCATGATTAATTACTTTATTGCACATTTGATCCGATATTCTTTGGCTCCTTCATGGATGACTCTTTTCTGATATTGCTCCTTTCTACACATTGGACAGGTTTTTCGTCCTGAGAACTTTTCAAATGCCTCCAAGCAAGTCTAGAAAATGCACAATAATTTATCAATATAGTCATCAAATATTAAGAAAACTCCCTAATTAGTATGATATAGTATTAAAACCCAATAAACTATGATATGAGTGAGTTGTAATGGTCAGGAAGTGAGAGTAGGAATTACATTCTACTTACTGCATGAAAACAACAATGTTCAGTAATTTTCATATTTCAGAAAGAGCTGTTTTTACTCACCCTATGGAAGACATGACTACAAGACAATAATACCTAAAGATAAAATAACCAATAACATATAATGATCTACAGTTGATGTTTTTTTAACAAGAATATAGTGAGATTCAATACAAACCTGCTGCTGAATACCAAAATCTTCTTTACAGATGACACATGGTCGTTGAGAATCATGTCTTGCAATAGACTGGCTCTTCACAGCTTGCCATTCCTTGTCTGATAAACCTTGCTCTGGAGCTTCAACTAATCCAAGTTTCTGAGCTGTAAAGRAAGGTGTAGTCTTATCCATGAATGCTTTCATGTACTACAAATTTCTAATTCCTTTCAACTTTATCTATAAAATTGATTTTTTATATTTAATTAATAAAATCTATACTGTAATCTTTATCAATTTCAAGAAATATAACAACGTGCATTCTACAATTTACTACAATGCAACTAGCATTCTACATTTTGCAGCAAATTACCTAGAGTCAGAGGTGGGAGCTTAGGGTCAAGTACATATTCTTTCTCTTCTTTGTTGACTTTTTTCTTCTGTTGACATTCTGTTCTTTTCTGGGAAGATTTATTCTTGTGTTTCAGGGGAGAAACTGGTAATTTATGATTAATCTTCTTTTTAGGAAGAGTGTCTTGAAGACTCAATGACCTGACAAGATGATCCTGTAGAGCCACTGCTGTCATAGCTGTGCTTGCCTGCATAAAAAAAAACACATTCACAAACAGGACGTTGTACTGATGCAATCAAATGATCATAATTGGATATTATTAGGGTTCAAATCTTTAGTCAGATAACCGCTGTGTGTTCAGTTCTTTGTAATATCAAAAGTTAACTATTGAATCCTATTGAATCCTATTCAATTCTATATGCTTAATAGAATTACGAGCATAAAATAACAAACCAACTAGTCTAGGCTATAGCCGACAATGAAAACAATAGATGTCCTTACACAAAGAAATCTTGAACCTCTAAATTAAAAAAAAAWCATCTCCCCGATTAAAGTTGTTTAACTTTCTGGTTCGCCATATTGGTGTTTTCAAGATGTTTCCAAGTCAACAAGGTTTTGGAATGGCGTAAAAAAAAGTCTAAGAGTGAACACCTACATAGGAYAAGACTTACAGAGCTATCATATTTTACATCTTTTCTGGATTTGTTCTGTGATAAGGATTTCATACTACATTAGCTTGGAAAAATCACGAATACAGACAAAATCGACAAAATAACTGTAGCAAGTTAGCTTATTTCCCGCCGCCATATTGAATAATGCCACTACCCGCTGACCAAGAGKAACGTTGGCTCCGGAATGGTACTCATTTACATTGCATCGACGCATGTAAAATTCGACGCACGAATCAACTGATAAAATGGTGTTTCATGGGAAACATGCATGCATATCGTATGCGTTCTTCATTAGTCATAGAATCARTGTGGGAAAAATGCGGAAAAATCAATATGCAAATTAAGCMYAAAATAACGTCAAAGAKGCACAAATAATCCACGTAAAATAACTCGCATCAGGAACTTGGATCCCACCTACAAGCACRTATCTCTCTCTGACCCGTTGATCAAGCATACAGTTTAACTGACACTTCTATGAATAGTACCATTGAGCTTCACGCTAAAAACATGAATTTTCAATATCATATAGAATTTATACAAAAAGCATAAATTCGTTATGTATTATAAAAATAAAGAGAAGATATCCTATTCTAGAAAATCAAGACAAAGTCTATAAAGATTATGTAGTAATTTCCAACTCTTCAATTAGTGATCGACGGGAAGCTTTGATTATGCCGCAACTTTTATAGGATTGCATTGAATCAAATTGCGACTTGATTCTCTATTTGGCACAAGCATAGTTCAAATTACTAGTTACAAAAATAAGAGTAGTATATGAGATCAAGAATGACCAAGCCATGTGAAATAGCAAAACTAATCGAGCCTGAATGCGGTCTGAGTTAGATAAAAAATCATTATTAAAAGAAATTTATGACAATGTTTTAAACCGATTTCTTGTCAAAATAGATTGTGTTTTAATCTTTAATGATCATGTTTGTACCAGTGTTTGCAAATCCGTTTTATTTTTGATACATGAGTTTATTTTTGTTCGTGCACTTTCATTAGAGGCAGTAACATGCATGACAAGCAAAGCGAAAAAAATACTCAATCATGTTCTCACGAATCTATCAAGTCAAGTAAAAAGAAAACCGCCTCCTAGGCTGGCAGGGGTTTGATAGTGATTACATGTGAACAGAGGTCTAGTAGAGGGGACTACTAACTCGGATATGAATTATTGAATTTTGAGAAGCCAGAATATTGAAAGCTTTGTATTCTTGAAACAGAACAACGAATTTACTTAGTGAAATAACTCCAACAGGATCGTACAATGTACGGCTAATACCTCTTTGCTTTAATACAATCAAATAAAAAAGTGGTAACGGTATCATTTCGATTAAAAGAATATTAAATGTCATTAGATTTGAAGTCTTTTTGTCCCTGATTCACTTCAGTAACAGGAAGGAGTAAATACGTCAGAAGCTTTGAATGCTCACTAGAACGGAACACTTTTTAAACTTTAAATAGTCAGGCCCCCTTAAGCTCTAATCATTCACTTGGTGAAAGATGAAGTTCGCTGTGGGCTTTGTGGTAGGTGCTATATGTAATATGATATAATCGACAGAACTCAGAACTGATCAATATCYAATGATACCAACAGCTAAACTTTCTCAAACTATAGTATTTGTCGCCGTTTTTCATATAATTACATGATTTATTGTGTGCGGTGCCAGTTAACCTGAACTTGTCACAAGTTAGATTCTCTTTTCATTCCCATTACTCACTAACGTGGGACACTGGAAGTCTCTTGTTAAATCTAAGAATAAGCCAGCCACAATAGATATTTTGAGTTCCTCTTCAAAACTGGTCCGCAAACATTGAAAGTATACACACCCCTATGAACATATTCTATAATATCAAACCGCATAATTTTATAAAACTGACGATCTTTTCTTCTAGGTGTTGTCTTTGTTTTGTTTACAATCTTGGGCCAACGTTCTAAAAGGTAAATTTCTCTTCTTCAAATTAGTTTAGTTAAAATAATGAATATGGTCTTGATTTTACTGTTTGCATGATGATAAAGTATTTCTAAGCTGTAAGATTTAATTTTTATCCCATACTTATTGCATAGGCTTTATTGTTAAAAGGGTTTATATGGAGTCATGAAACCAGAACTAATGACTATCTGTGATGTTGGCATGATGGACACTGCTTGCTAATAATAACTTTTCGCCTAATTAAAAAAATTCATAATAGTTATATGTACAAATCTCATTGGACAAGTACACTAAAAACAACCTCGATACCGTCTTGAGTGGGAACAAGTCAAAAAAGAAATGACGGCTTCTATGACGTCATACAAGAGTTGTTCATGTAAGAAAATCGCAAGTTCCTCCATAGATTTTACGCACGGAATGTAGATAGTAGTTTAAAAAGATCCAATTCATAATACCATTACACTGAACATATGAAGAGGGCAGTTTTCTTGCCCGTTCATTTCTGATGGACACAGAAGAACACAGTGATGGTTTAAATTCGGTCTGAATAGGCYGTTCTGACCAATCAAAACCTTCGCGAGTTGAGATGAAAGCTGATTGCAAATAAAATCTATTCTATAGTCGAAATTATCTCTTAACAACTAAAATACAAGAGGTCAACGCAAATATCATGTGATTAGTATCTATGCTAGCCAGGATCATAATGATTACAAAGTTGTTCTATTGGACCTATTGTAAATATTAATAAAAAACATTCATCTCAATATCAACAGAAAATGAATCAAGGTCTGGTATGCTTGAAACTCGTRTCGTAAATGGTAGAAAAGCTAGAGTGAACGAGTTTCCATGGCAAGTCTACTTAGAAAGAAACGGTCRTTTCATTTGTGGAGGGTCAATCATCAGGCGTGATTGGATCTTAACAGCTGCTCACTGTGTTCGTAAACAACCATTTGCTAATAGATACAGAGTCACTGTGGGTAAGTGTTGCATAACATATACAAGGGTATTGATTCGCAATGACAAATTACAAGATCTAGGCATTTTCTATTTGAGGAAGGTGATTGTAATCCGATTGGACCATTGATTCCTCCATTTCATTGTTTATAGGTGCACAGGCAAGGCGTGGTAGAATATCTGCTTACAAGAAAACATATCGAGTGAAAAAGCTGATTTATCATCATCATTATTTCCGTCGCCATATTCGATATGATGTGGCTCTCCTCCAGCTAGACAGCTCAGTCAAGATCAGTAAAGGTGTTAAGATCATTAGCCTTCCTCGTCGGAATACAAGAGCYCGCATCGGTCAAAAATGCTATGTYACTGGTAAGTAGCATTCCTATGTACATCCCGAGTACAGTACCTAATTTAGATTTTCATAATAACAAATTTTAATATCAATTCAATTAAGGATGGGGTCGTTTGGGAGGAGGAAAGCGATTACCTAATATCCTTCGGGTTGCCGATATAAGAATAGCACATTTCAACCACTGCCGAAAAAAGAATGGTCCTTTGGTACACGATCCAACGATGGTTTGCGCTGGAGCTCAAGGCAAAGGTTCTTGTAATGGTGACAGTGGAGGTCCTTTGTCGTGCAAAGAGAATAATCGATTTGTTCTAAGAGGTGTTACGAGCTGGGGCATAAGAGGTTGTCTTACCAATCGATTTTCTGTATTTGCAAGAGTCAGCAGTTTTCTTGGATGGATCAACAAAGTCATTGGTATGAACAAAATTTATCTAATTTTTAAAATTCATATATAGCGGTTCTCAAGCTAAATTGTTCAATAGTAAATGAATGAAATATGACTAATATTATGAAAACTAGGTGTATAGGTTACGGTCATAATCTCTAAAAATTATGGCAGACACTTTCAAAAAGGAAAACATAAAATTTTACATTTGAATTAACTTCCAGTCTTGACACCAAGCGAATCCAAAAGCGTCAAAAGGCGTTCTGTTTGCTATATCTCTTTTTATAACAGGTTCTGGTGGATGTAAGAAGATCAAATGCCTAAATGGTGGAAAATCCTACTGTCATGGTAAAGTGGCAAAATGCCGATGTAAACCATACTACGCTGGTCCACGCTGTGGAAAAAGTAAGCGATTGTTATTCCAACTTCTAAATACATTAGTCAATATTTTATATGGTGTCTTTTAACAGGGTTGTGTCCAAACGTCCACGGTGGTTGTTTCCATGGCAAAGTACGCTGCATTAACCGGTTCTATTCTTACTGTCATTGTAACAGAGGATATACTGGAGTGAATTGTGAAATAGGTAAGAATAAGTGTAACTACGTCATGTCGTTTGTCCTCGTTCGTTTGGATGTCACCTCTGAATGAGAAAGCAAATAAAGAAATCAAACAGAAATCGAAAGTATGCAATTAACCCTGTCTTTTCCAATCTACAGGGAGAACATCTTGTCCACCAATATATTGCTTGAGTAGAGGATCACCTCGTTGTCTTCGTTTGTTTCGTGGTGTTTTCTATTCTTGGTGCAAATGTAGTGCGGGCTTCGCTGGACGATACTGCCAATACAGTAAGTAACACACTTTGAAAATAAAGTTCAATTCTATCATGAAATACAATGCTTGTTTTTGTTTTTGTCAGACAAAGGCTGGTTCTAATCTGGACATGACCTCTATTTTGGAGGTAAAGGGATCTGGACTAATATTGAAATGGACAACCAGGCACTTAATTTGACATGTAAAGCACAAAGCATGCACTTTATTAACTAATTAGTAAGATGTACGGCAATAGACCTTAATATTACATAAAAGCTGGTCAACACCAATCAAGTTTCTCATTTAAATCTTTACTTTTTGTTATTTCTCAAATAAAAACTTCAACCATCAGAAATTCAATGACTGTCTTGATTAAATCAAAGATCGTTGGGGCGGGCCACTGGCTAAGAGAAGTGATTTTGACATTACCTTACGTATCTCGTAGCCTTTCCATTCTAGAAAGTCGAGAATACGTACCGTCCACCTCCTGCATCTTCTAAATCTGCATATTGCCTGGTAACAAAACGAGTATTCACACCATGACGACACTAGCCCTATAGCAACAGTATTGTCTTCGGCTGCACTCAGGCTAAATGACGTGGAATCCAGAATCGCGGAATTTCTAATCTAAAAAATAATCTAAAATACTTGAAATATCAAGTCCGCAACAATGGAAACTTCAACAAAACAAGAGGAATCCCGAATTTAAATTAGTGACTTCAAATGTTCCCTAATTTTTTACATTTCTTTTTAAATTTTCCAAAGCATGTATGAACGACAATTTTTGTCTACCCGGTACCGGTACCCGCCACGATCAACCGCGACTMGTGAAACCCGCGTTCCCGGATTTCTACACAAAATTCCGGCTTTACTCATGGTTAGTAACATACATGTTACGGTACAATACAAGTACATTACATGAAGTATCGACCGAAAATCTCAAGTCTCTTAGCGCTGACCCTTCTTGAGCCTGCAGTAAATTAAAGATGGCGGACGATGACAGCAGAAATGTTTACTCCATGTTTTCGGAGATACAAGAGCATTTTTCCGACGATCAAGAAATTAGGGAGGTTAGTCGCATTTCATAATGCTATAACTTTGCTAAACTAGCCAAGATGTAAATTACTAAGATGAATATAATGAATACTTCTACTCAAAACTCTATGCACGTGCCGTGTCGTTGTCGCGTTTCACCGAAAATTGCTTTTTTCAATATTAATAGATAACCTAGATTAAACTTTTGCAGAACATTAGAGTCGCTGTCCGTGCACTCGAACAAACTGGAAGAGAAGTGCTAGCAGTCATGCAAAGCGCACATCAAGATCCAAGCAAAGACGGTACATATACTTTTAAAGGCATGAAGTACTTGAGTCTTAATATAAACTTAATATCATTTTATTTTATTTTTTGACTAGCTGTCGGCAAAATCTGTACCAAGAGCAGAGAAATGCTAAATAATGTGAAGAAACAGTATGCTACGTTAGAATGCCAATTTCCTAAAGGTCAATATTACAGGTAACAAAAAAATCAAATGGTGATCACCTGTCAGATTGAACTATACTTCATCCATACAAGGCAAGGAGAATAAAAAGGCATTTCTTTTCTATGCATTTAATGTACGTAATGGCACATTTTATCTTCAAGGTATTGTGATCACTGGAGGTTCATAAACCAGAGATTAACATTCTTGTCAGCTTTCATCATATTTCTAGAAAATGAAAGGCTTATTACTAGAGAAGAATTAGCTGAAATGCTTGGAGGTATATATATGTAAACTTCTTTTCCTTGATGTCCACTTTATTGAAATAACTTTCCACGATTACTTTGGCATAGGATACATTTAGATATCTGCGAGGTCCTTTGGCCTCTCGCTACTTTCTACCTCAAACGTGTCAGAAAACTACTGCCTGTCACTGAACCCGCTCTTGCCCTAAATACCGGGTAACCCCGCCCACAATTCCCAGGAGATGGGAACACAGGGAACCCGCACACTCTAAATATACTTTCCAGTTTTTTCAAAATATCTGCCAGAAAAGGCAATTTGGTTACAAGGAAAGGTTTCAGAAAGCATTGTTTATGAGTTCATGCAACAACACGGCCACAAACGTTTGTTGAATGACTAGTAATTTCTTGTAATGTTTTCAATGCAGTGTCAAAACAACAAGAGTAAACAAACCTGATGAAACCTGTTTTTTACAAGAGGTCTTTTGCCTTGCAAAATATAGAATATTCAACATCAAGGTATCATCTTTTATTTTTTTTTAGTTCATCAAAGTCAGGACCAAGGATTTTTTGTTGATTTAGATGATTATTTGATGGGAATCTTACAACTTGCTAGTGAATTGGTAAGACATAACATGTGTTTAAGTTATTTTATTTGGAAATGCAATCAATATAGAGGTCTGTGGCTGTGTTACAGTAGTCTCCTTCATAGCCTAACCTTTGTCTGGATTGCTGTTCCTTTCAGAGGGCCAGGAAGCCTAGCAGAGGGGGTAGGCTGCAAAGGAATCCAGTGTTACAGCAAAAACCCTTGCATAATGACTTTAAAGTTATTGGGTGTGCTGTGAGGAGTCTAGGGTAAAATAATAACTAAGCGATTATGTGTTTACAGTCTCGTCTGGCTGTCAACAGTGTAACATCCAAAGACTACAACCAGCCTATCTGTATAGCATCATTTCTAGCAGAATTGGATGCAGGATTTAGGCTTCTAAACCTAAAGAATGACTCATTGAGAAAAAGATTTGATGGACTAAAATATGATTTAAAGAAAGTTGAAGAAGTTGTTTATGATCTCTCCATCCGTGGTTTAAAACCACCACCTTCATGATGTGATGGTCAGCCATGCAGGATTGGAATGGGTTTTCCTAAAGTTTATAGTTAATTTATGAATAAAGGAATCAGAACATTATGGAAACAAACTTTACTTTTTTATTAAATTCTGCTGAATGCAAGAGAAATAATAATGAAGCCTGTTTTTACAAAGTAAAACACATTACGAACAATGACTAAAATCACAGTGTATTCTACAAGTGATACTTTATCAAAGAGAGTTATGCAATGTTCATTCAAAATATTACTCAATAAAGAGTGTTTTAAAAAGATCTAATCAGGTGATCTTAGAATACTAAATTTAAATGAATGGTGTTCATTGGACATTTTTTTACAATACAAACTACCGATATGACAAAAAGAAATAATTTTAATTATTAAAAGGTTACTATTATCATGAAGTTTCACAAGGTGCTCTTTGCCTTTTGAAACTTTTTTCACGTGAAGCTATGTTGTGTCTATTGAACAAAAATGCAGTTTTTCATGTAATGTTTTGTAAGGGTCAGTAGGTAGTTGACTGTCTGACAAACAATATAAAAAGGTGTAAATCTACGATCAATAAAAATATTAGTCTGAATCAGAGCTTGAACTGTATCTTCGTCTTTTACTTTTGTATTTGCTTGATTTACGTTCTTTGCTACTACTGCCTGACCGACTGCGATGACGTCGAGGACTTTTCCGTCTTCTATTATGTGATCTACTTCGAGATTTCCGTTTTTCACCTGACGGACTGCGACTTCTCCGAGATTTTCTCTGGTTCTTTGAAGATTTTCTTTTATCACCAGACCTACTGCGAGACCTACTTTTCCTGTTACCTGAACTTCGTCTTCTACTATCACTTGTGTTATGGGAATCTTTAGATCTATTCTTTGTGTCTGATTTACTTTTAGATTCACTTGAACGACTTCTTCTCCTGTGTGACTCCTGTCTTCTATGGGCACCAGATCCTTGCTCGTGTTGTTTACCTGGTGATTTACTGTGACTTTTTCTATGTTTTGTGCTTGAGTTGCTAGTAGTAGGTTTTTTGTTCGATACTGGACTAGCTTTCTCATTGCTTTGGTTGGGTTGTTGATTATGTATGGTTGTGTTAGTAGAGTTATTCATTTTTTCATCATCTGAGTTTTGCTCTCTCTCCCATCTGCTTCGGTTTGTAATTCCTTCCTCTTGACCATCTATTCCTTCATTCCTTGTCGTCCCTTCCTGTGATTTTGCTGGGTTTGAATTCCGGTCCCATCTACTTGAATTACGGCTTCGTTGTGCTATTGGTGGGGAGTTGGAGCCAGTTCTCTGGTTTCTTATTCCTGTTCTTTTAACTGGAGAGAAGCTTCTTGAGCGTGATCTGGCTCTACGGTAATTGTTTCGTGGCCTTTCACGTGATCTTGGAGGAGATCTTGGTCGTCGTCGCTGTGGTGACCGGCTTCGAGATCTGCTTTGAGACAGACTTCTTGATTGCTGGCTCCCTTCTGGGGGAGGTGTTCGGTACCGCTGCAATAGAGATAACTGTTTAATAAAGACAATTAAAATAAATGTCTACAGAGACAGACACCTTACCATTCTTCCTCGGCCACGAAGTATTCTTCCTGAGTTTGAAACCTAAACAGCAAATAAACAAATAAATAAAAATACTATCTTAATGATTATGTGCTGATATTATTGATGTAAAATTAAAGACAATGAGTATTCTTAACATTGACATTAGTGCCTTACTCTTTTGGTACTTGAGGTTGGAGGAGCCTTGTAACCAGGGGGTGACTTTCCCTTTCTGTAAAGTGGAGCCAATAACATGGATTAATGTGATGTACCATAAGTTTAGTAATAACGTGTCACTCATTGAACTTACCTTCTCTCGCGCACTGGTGATGGTGTACGGCTCCGTCTCATCAAAAATTTGCTACTAGGAACATCGGGGACAGTATCAATTGAGACAGTTGGTATGTACAAAGGATTTTCAGAGAAAGGTACAGGTTCTTTTCCATCAATTGTCTTCTCATTCTCTTCAGCCCTATAAAGACAATAGAAACATCACATGTAGATTTCAGGGTTCAAGGACTTTGTCCTTCTAAAATATTTATGCAATGGTACCTACAATCTCTTATAAATGTTATTTTTTGATGAGTTAGAAAGACATATCTGCCAAAGTGAATGATACTACTAAAGCTTTAAGGCTCACCGATTAGATTCATCAGCACTTTCTGTCTTTTTCCCTTTCTTCACTTTACTTTTCTCTTTCCTTTTTTGCTTTTGTTTTTGTTTTCTACTCTCAGAATCTGAAGATTCACTGCCAGATTCTGATTCTTCTGATGAGCTGGCTAATTGTTTCTTTTGTTTCTCTGATAAAAACAGAAAGCTGTTAGTAAATAATAGTTAACCCTTCCCTATCTCCTTATATACAAAACATCCTTCTTAAACATGATACAGCATTCCCCCTTGAAAACCTATGTTGAGGTTGTTTTTACCTTTGACTTTAGATTTAGGAATCAATTCTCCACAGTTTTCAACTCTTATATCAGCAAGAGGTCTACTCTTGTCATTGGTTGGCTGGTTTTCTATGTCAGATATTAACTCTACACCAACAATGACATGTCCAAAAACAACATGAATTCTATATTCAAAAAATAATCATTAATAAAGGCAATAACAATGAGTTATATACATTTTAGTAAACATCAATTTGTAATGCACACTCACCCATTTAGATGTGGTGCAGGTTGAGTTGTTCTGTATATCAAACAAAATAATAAATAATCATGTTTACATTTCTAAAAAATGTAGTTCATTCTTACATGAAAAACTGGGATCCATTGGTGTTTGGTCCTCTGTTGGCCATGGAAAGCAACATTGGTTTGTCATGTTTTAAAACAAAACATTCATCTAAGGATAAAATCAAACATATAAAGCACGAATTCTTTTCAAAGTAATTTTTTTAAAAAGAATCTCAAACAATAGTACAAACTTACCATCAAATGTGCCACCATAAATGGATTCTCCACCAGTACCATTTCCTGTAAAAGAGGTACATGACAACCATCAGACCAGGAAAGGATTGACAACAACAAGTAGAGTATTAAATGGTTAACCTGCAGTAAAATCTCCTCCTTGAATCATGAAATCCTTGACAACCCTGTGAAATGGACACCCTTTGTAATGAAGCTGTTTACCAGTGGCCTTCCCTAGGCCTGCTTCACCTTTAACAAAACATATCACACTTAACTATCATCCTTTATGAGATAAATCACTAACTCTGAAGCCTTACCTGTACAAAGAGATCTAAAGTTCTCACAGGTTTTTGGGCAGATATCAGCAAAAAGTTCAAAAATTATTCTTCCAGCTATCAAACACAACATGATATATCATTATAATAATATTTTTCAAATAATTATAATAATCGTGATAAATAAAGGTCAAAAGATCTCGAAAGAGGAAAGGCACCATGATAACGAGGTCTAACAGATCAGAAACTCCACATCTTACAGTAAACAAGGGACTACATCAACCATCTGAATTACTTTGTATCATATATAATTCAACTTTTATCAAAAGAAATGTGTTGAAAGCTGCAAGAGAATGCATGCATATGCGAGGTTATGGATAGTCAGACTCTACCAATCTGTGTTGATTCCAACTGATCTAAAAACGATTTACACGACTAAACGAGCCAATATAACCTTAAAAGATTTAAAGAAAGCTTTTCTTTATGAATCCAATTAACTTGATTATTTGACCATACGTAAGATATTATGGATGCAATGAATCAAAAAAAAATAAGCTTGGTGTCTTTCAGACAACACGCGCTACATTCCTAGAGTACATCTAAATGGAAGACAACAAATAAACAGCTGAGATTTTACACCTTACAATTACCATTGGTTTTAAAGTTACTATTAACCTAAGAAGCATTACGAATATACCTTTTTGACCGTTAACAGAGACGTCAAAGAAACATCTTGGTCTGTAACCCTTTGCTTTAGGAACCGCCATCTTGGATTACCACCACTATGTATGACGGGATATCTGTGTCATTAGCGTGACTGCTGGTAATATATACCGCAGGCTCGTATAAGATCATAACACGAAAGTTATAAAAACAGAAATCGAACTTCCTTTCTTTCTTTCTTCCCAAAACTGTATTATGAAGTAGAAAAACAACGTTAGAACAATCATGGCACATTTTACTGGTGATTGGACGCCGCTTGGCGAGGTTTTCTTCAGGTGAGCTTAGAGATCTGTCAGATCATGTGACGGTCAGAAAGAAACTTTAAGCTTATTGCAGGAAGCTGCCCACAGAAATTGTTTATTGTCAATGAATAGATGATTCTCTCATTTGTTATTTGATTTTTCTGATTGGATGATATAACCTTGAATTGAGTCTTAGGAAGTCCATGAATGCTGATAAGGTCATTTTGTACTGTATGTGCACACTAATAATTTATGGATTCTCTTTCCCTTCATACTGTACATCACAAAGTGCAATAGCATGGTATTCACTTCACTGATAGTGTTTGTGTGTGTATAAAAGGAAACTTGAGTTATATAGCATGGGATGGTCTGTGGACTTGAAGTACTTCACTGTAGCTGCAGCATCCTATGGTGGACCAATTGGTACGTAATATGATCAGTTCATTTTCTCATGATATCATACAGGAGAATTAATGAGCTATTATGATTCACCCTTAAAAATTGTTTGAAGGAGACTCAGTTCATTCATTACTTTTCTTGTTTTTACATGTAACAGCTTTAATGCCAAATAACACAAGCTCTGTGATGACAAAACCCATCATCAATTTGTATTCATCATCAGGGAAAGAGTTAGCAACATTCAGAGTAAGAATCAACATAACTTTATGGATATTGATTGACAGTTGTCAATAATTTTTCCATACAGTAGTTGTAGTATTATATTATATTATTTATTTCATGATAATACCTTTTTAAGAACTCAAACTAGTGAGGCTTTTCTAGCATACAACTAAAAATACTTTTGAAGGAAAACTAATGTGTTGTTTTTACCAGTGGGATGGTGGACCTATTGTACAACTTGACTGGTCTGCTAAGGAAGAGCTATTATGTATATCAATGGATGGTAGTGTCTCAGTGTATGATATACATGGTGTATATCAAAGGACATTCAGTATGGGACAGGTATTACAATATATTTATCACTCTATATTTGATCCATATAATCACCTCCTGTTGTCAATACGACTTCAGCTGAATTGCATGAACCATAGTTCTTGTGCATTTGTTTCAGGATGCCAAAGAATCCAAAGTCATAGATAGCAAGACATTCCGTAGTTCTGGTGGTACTGGTATTGCAATTCTGACTGGAAATTACCATTTCTTTGCCATAAACAATGTGGATGATGTTAGAAGCAGAAAGTTTGTTGATCCTCCCAGTAAGTTGAAATGCAGTCAAAAAATTCACTTAAACTTATAAAGCTTTTCCTTTTAATAATTATTAGCAGCAAAGATGTCAAACATAATCTACACAATCAACGGGGAGCAAAGATGGCCGAGCAGTTAAAACGCCAGTCTATCACCGCTGTGGTCCTGGTTCGATTCCTGGTCCGGGACTATATGTGATTTGAGTTTGTAAGCTGGTTCTCTTCCTTGCTCCGAGGGTTTTTCTCCAGGTCTGCTGGTTTTCCTCCCTCAGTCAAAAACTAGCTGTGAGGAGTGTGTAGTAAAATAATGAATGTTGAGGTAGTGAGTGTGAGTGAATATATAGAGAGCCACAAAAAAGATTTTATACATCATGTGATTATTTTGCAATATTTTCAAATAGACTTAAGTGCGCCCCCAACAAGTTGGATTATTATACCAGAGGACAGAGGATCACAGGCGCTTGTTGCTATTGATAGTCAGCTTTACTTGATTGACACTGGACAGTGTGTTCAGCTGGTTAGTTGACATTAATAAATGTTTTTGAGAATACTATTGATATAAAAATGTTTGGTATTCATGACAGGTTATAATATGTTTTTATATGATTTTATAGTATTTCTATGACATCTTTGATCATGATTGTTTGATAGTATCCGTCGTTCAAAGAGGTAGTTACTTCCATTGTTGAGATGGCGCTCTCTAGCAGTGGTACCCTTCTGACGATGTTTACAGACACTGGACTTGTATGGATAGGAACACGTGATGTCCAGGTATCATAACTGTTATAATGATGCCTGTCATCATTATCATCATCATGAAAATTGAGCAATGAATTTGAAAAATCAATTTAATGTATTGATCAAACCAACAAGATACAAACAAACATTGCCAAAAAACCTTTTGACAAGAACTATATCATCACTCCAAGCTCATATCTTATCCATCTTTCAGAAAGTGTACTGTGAGGTCAACACTCAGTGTTTGTCAAGACCAAAACAACTTGCATGGTAACAAAGATTCTCCAAATAAATAGTGCTATGGGGATGTCAGGGGGGTTCATGGTTATGTCAAGAGATGTATGATATCAAGGAGTACACTGTTAGTCATATAGGGTTATGTTGATACTGTTGTTTCTGGTAGGTGTAGTAATGCAGCTGTGGTTTGTTACTGGGATGATTATCTTGATGTTATTGGCCCAACCACTGATGTAACTAAATATCCTTTAAAAAATGATATTTGAATACAATGATTTGAATGATTTGAATTTTAACATTTAAAAATGTTGATGTCATCGTTAACAACCTTATTTGAACAATAAATATTGACAAGTATAGAGCATCTGTATTGTTCTTAACTGATAGTACATATGTAATGGATAGTGATGTGTGCCTTGTACAAGAAATTGATGGTGTACGTGTTATTGGCAATGAAACTCATGAACTATTGCAGAAAGTACCACGTAAGTCTGTCAATCATTTGTACCTCTCATAATAGATATCCATGACCACTGCATAACAGCAATTTGGACTGACATGATAATATTATGGATCTTGTAATTTGCAGCATCAGTAGAAAATGTGTTCAAGATTGGTTCAGTCAATCCTGGTGCAATGTTGTATGATGCTGCTAAGGAGTTTGAGGTTTGTTTTATTCTGTTGTGTGATAGTTTTAACTGGTTTTCTAGTTTAGCTTGCTTTTTTCCATGCAGAAAAAAAGTGCCCGTGCTGATGAGTATGTAAGACTGATTAAAGATGAACTGACAAAAGCAGTAGAACAATGTATTCAGGCAGCTGGAGCAGAGTTTGAACCTTCTGTACAAAGGGGACTTCTTAGGGTGAGTCTTGGACCAGTTCTTTATTTTGGACACTCTAAAAAATAGGGCCAGATTAATTTATTTGCTGTTCAAACAGAAACTCTTCACTGCACTCTTCACATATAAAGAAGTTTTGCTGGATGCCTGTCAATGCAATGCAAGATCCTCTTTCTTGCTTTTAAAGCTCTCCATTCTTAACTGTATTTACTTTCTAATATTGATAATAAAGTGTGTACATTATATTTTAGCATTGATATTTATTCTGTTCTAGGCTGCATCGCTAGGGAAGAGTTTCTTGACAGATTTCTCTCCTAAACCATTTGTGACTATGTGCCAAAGTCTGCGAGTGCTGAATGCTGTTCGAGAATATACAATAGGAATACCTTTAACATTCGCACAGTATCCTAGTCGTGCTTTGATTGTAGTTGATCTTTTATAATTATTTTGTGTACATTTTTGCTGTGTTTTCATCTTTAACCCAATCATTACAGATTGCAGCAGATGTCAATACCAGTCTTGATTGACAGGTTGTTATTATTTTTGATTATTTTTGATTATTGCGATTTCCATTTGACTGTAAAAGATTTGCAGGAAAATATTAATTTAATGTGCATTTTATTTTTTTTCATTTGTTCTCCAAGTCGTTTTTTACAGCAAAATGGACTCTAATAATGATGTTGATAAATGTGGTTGATGAATGTGGTTGTCATGTGGTTCATCATCATCATCATCATTATTATTTTTATTATTTATACTTTTTTACTGGTAGGCTAGTTCTTCGTCGACATTATTGTTTAGCCATTAGAATTTGCGATTATCTCAAGATTCCTAAAGCTGAAGGAGCAAGTCGTATTCTTGGCCATTGGGCGTGTTATAAGGTACAGTAGGGAAATCGTGTATAGCAGGAGATCCGGACAAGTTAGGGGTTAGGGGTCGTAAATCCGTGAAGACTGATTTTTATTCTCCGTAAATTAAGATAAAAGCTAGAAATGAAATTCGCGCTCCACCTTTTTCCAACGATTCATATTTTTTCAGGTCCAACAGACGAACGTAGATGATGAAGAGATTGCCTGTGCAATTAATGCAAAATTGGGAGAAAGTACCGGTATTTCATACACTGAGATTGCTTCTAAAGCATTAGAATGCGGAAGGACATTTCTAGCAATAAGGGTGCGTAAAATCTCTCATTGTGCGTATTCGAGTATTGATTCCAACAAGTCGTGTTATTAATCAGTTATTAGATTATGAACCAAAAGCCGCTGACCAAGTACCCTTGTTGATGAGAATGAAGAAAGATGATTTGGCTTTAGAGAAAGCCATTCTGAGTGGTGACACTGATCTTAGTAAGTCTATAATCATTTATTGTCATAACTTTCAAGACTGAGACAACTCGGGCACTAACGACCTTAAAGATAGGAAAACCACTAAATCAATAAGTACTTCCCCCCCCCCCTCCGACACGTTCTTGGATCTGTTGCAGTGTACACGTTGTTTTTGCTTTTCATTGAAATGCGAACATTTTCGAAAGTCACTGGCTGTCTAAAAATGCTCGCACACGAGATTTGAAAAACATCCCTTGAAAATTATTTTTTGTACATTACTAAAAATACTTGGAAATCTTGGAATTTTGTGATACAGACAAGGTTTCAATAGGTACAGTTTCCAATTTCTAAAGGCAATTTTTTAGTTCCTCCTTCTACCCTCAGTACTTGGAGGGACTTTAGACATTAAATATACTAAATCTTGTGTTTTCTAGTTTATACAGTTGTAATGCATTTAAAAGATACACTTCCATTGGGAGAATTCTTGCGTGCTATACGTCACCTACCTGATGCCCAAAGTCTGTTTACAAAGGTATTTCAATACTCATTACCACACATGTGGCTTTTGTTTAAATGTTTGTTGTTCCCTCTATAGTACTGTAAAGAACATGATCGTCGTAGCTTAGTTGATCTCTACTATCAAGAAGATAACTTCCTAAACAGTGGCAATGTATATTTACGAGATAGTTTCAACGAAACGGTAGGTCTATAGTAGAGTCATCTCGGTATGTGGATAAGCACATTTACTCCCTGTCCACTCGTAGCCGGATATTTTTGCATTCGCAAATCATTTTTAGAGTGCGAAGTTTCTATTCGCAAAAAAAAAAAAAAAAAAAACATATCAAAACAAAAAACAACAACAACAAAAACACACACAAAACAGCAACAAAAAACAGCAATTGTTTATTCAAAGGTCTGAAATTATTTTCGCAGACTTTGGAGTCTCGCAAAAAGACTCTAGAAACAGCGCAGTTGTCTTATACACAGGGAAACTGCACCTTTTACTCCAAGGTAAACATTGTCAATGTCAGATTTATCAATTGTTAGTCTGCGTTGGTTTAGACTGTGACGTCCTTTTCTTGTTGTAGTGTACTGATGAATTCATTAAACTCCTCGACTATCAAAACAGACTAGAAAACGAACAGAGAAAACCGTTTGTAGATTTGTCGCTTAGTGACACAATATCCCAGGTAAATCAATGTGTTCATAATAGAAGTCATCTTCAGGCGCGTAGCGTCCTTTACGCATATACGCACGTGCGTACTAGTGGCAAGGAAATATTAAAATTTTCACAAAAATTACTGAAAAATTCACGTAAAATTGATCCCTTTTACATGCCCTCGCTGTCTCTCAAAACGCTGGAAATCGCATTCCTAAGAGATATTACTTCAAAATTTCCTCGGGGAGGTCCAGACTCCCTTAATACTCCCGACTTTGGCGGTCGTTAGACCCCCAAATCCAAAATATGTGTCGCGGTCCTTGAGATATGCGTACTAACCAAAACGTCCACGCCATACGCGCCTGATCTTTCCTTCGCGCAGATTTTGACCTGCGCATTCCTGCACATTGGCCTTGGCTATTATTTTTTGTTTTAGTGTATCAGATTGAGAAACTTCAAAGCGGCTGATCAACTCAAGAAAGAGTTTAAAGTACCCGATAAAAGGTTTCACTGGCTTAAAGTACGCGCTCTGGCTGAAAGCATGGACTGGATAGAACTCGACAAGTTTGCAAAATCGAAGAGATCGCCGATAGGTTACGAAGTAAGTCTTGATCCAGCAGCAGTACCTCTTTCGTCCTTTTTCACTACATTATTATTTTTGTAGCCATTCGTGGATGCATGCCTTGAAGCTAATAATAGACTGGAAGCAGAGAAATACCTGCCACGCGTGCAGCCGGAAAACAAAGTATTGTACCACGTAAAATTAGGGTAGGTCATGTGTTACGCACGTAATACAGCGTTATACGGAACATCCACGTGTTAACTATATAGGTCTTTTTCCTTTCAGTAAACTAGAGGAAGCAGCTGGCATAGCGGCAAATCAAAATAACGAAGAGTTACTGGAATTTGTGTTGAAGAAATGCGAAAATAACCCACCGCTGTATAACAAAGTACAGAATATGATCTTGCAAAAGTCGTGAAAACATAGTTTTATAAGAAAAATGAAGCAATAGGCCGTTTGCATTATGACATAACTTTACTACAACTACCAGAGAGCCTTGCGCATTTTCATTGTTATTCAATTTTTTAATCCTCTTGGAGATTAATAAAACAATTGGCACTAATTGCATTACAAAAGAAAGTTGCCAAAGCATTCTGGTAGTTGTAGTAAATGACGGCATAATGCATATCGCCTATTTTGAATACACAACAAGATGTATAAGCAGAATTGATACATTTAACAATGCAATGTTTATTAAAAACAGTTCAGCATCTTGGTAATAAAAAAACATTTCTAAAAAATAATAAGCTATGAAAGCAGTACTTTATGAACAACCTCATTATCTGAGGCAACAATGTATTTCCCCAGCGGAGAAAGTAATTTGATTAACGGGATCTCCAACCACTTTGTTCTGGTATACTTATTATTTTGGTAAACTGAACCTTTTTTCTGGCAGCCATTTTCATCAATTATATTTAAACATGTCTTTGCTACCAGACTAGTAAATACTAGGAGAAATAAATATTTAATTCCTAACAAAGCGGCTGAAGTAACATGCTACGTACAACTCAAAACTCATGAATGTAAACAGTTTAGAAACTATCCAAATCAAACGAGCAAAATAATATACCATTATTTTTATATTACTTACATATTTACAAAAATAAATAATTTCTTTAAGATACACGCAATGCATGATGGACTGCACTGGGTATAAGTCTATCTATTTTGGTACGTTGATGGCGGTCAACCCATCGACATTTCAGTTTTTGAACATTTCTATAGAACACAGTCGTATACTGTATGAAATGCTGTTTGGTACTAGCAAGATAATGGACCGTGCCGGCCCAGCAAGCTGCCTTTCCTTCGGCACTATCGTTGCCCTTCAGTGGTTTACAGACAACCTATATCGCTGGCAAGGGGTCGTACCACTGACCAAATCTATCGCTGGAGCACCACTGACCAAATCTATCGCTGGCAAGGGGTAGCACCACTGACCACATATACCGCAGTACTATACTGAATCAGGTTTTGTGTTTTTCTTAAATAAGTCTTTAAAGGTTTTCCGCCGTGTTTTAGGGTCAACTACTATAGGTTGTAGCTTCGCACTGCTGTTTCTGTCTTTGCTTGTCTCGCTTGGGTATTCAACACCGTTTGTTCTTTCATATCTACTTTCATCAGGATCTTCACGCATGCTCTTTTCGTATGTTTTTGAGACGTCAAAGTTCTGTCTCCTTCTTACCAGAATATATGCCATAACTGCACATATAACTAAAACAAGTACTCCGGTCACGATAGCTGCTCCAATAACATCTCCAATACGATAGCCCGTTTTCTTGGTCGGTGTACCAGAATCGTCCATTTTATTATATTTGAAGTCAGTGTTTACCTCTGAAAAAACAATGCAAACAAAAAACAATTTTAATGGTTCTGCTTTTGGATGTTGTAGTTTATAACTGGAATAATTTTTAAAAAAAGACAACAGATTCCGACGACCCTCCAATTTCTAGATTTTAAAACTTACTTTCACACACGCATGTTTTGTATTCAACTCGGTCGTTCGGGCATCGACCGTCATTAGGATGTAAGCCTTGGCATCTTCGTGTCCTGTGTTGCAATCCTATGGGATCTGGGTTATCGTTCTCAGGTACAATCTTAAACGGTAGATTACAGAGACAACCCGACCATGTACTCCACGATGTATCAATGTCTGGTTCTGCAATAAAAAATAGCAATATATTGAGTGACAGTAATGATATTTGATAGTGATGATGATGATGAGGGTAATGACAGTATGAATCGTCGATGATGTAATCACAGATTGGTTTAGGATAACTAGTGAATATGTTGTTTATTTACCTGTTGGTACTGTATGGCGTGTTGTCTGTGTAGTTTTAGTAGTTTTAGTACTAGGTGTAGTTTTTGGTATTATATCACAATGCCGATCTTCTTGTTTAACTCCAATACATGGTTTATCATCGTCTATACAGGACCGTTTTCTGGACTGCATGCCAATAAGCACACATTCACTCCACTTGGTCCATATACTCCACAGCCCTGGTGGTGTTGTTGGTTGGACTATAATGTTATAAGAAATCAACGTGTCAATTGCAGCCAATCAGAAGGTACTTGACATAACAGTAATAGAGCCTTGATATACATGTACTCGGAATCATTTGTTTATCCAGTGGTCATCTTCTTATTAGACTGACGTAGCCTTTGTTACATCCGGTTTTATATTCTAACAAAGCCTACCCAGGTGGGAAGGAGGGAGGAATAGGTCGTCAGGGGTGTCAGCATCGTGGGAAGGAGGGAGGAACAGGTCGTCAGGGTTGTCGCCCGGCATCGTGGGAACGAGGGAGGAATAGGTCGTCAGGGGTGTCGCCCTGCATGGTGTGAAGGGTAAGTAGTGGGATAGGTCATCAGAGGTTGTTGAGAAAGAACTTACTTTTACAAAGTTTTCTGTCTTTAAGGCAGTCGACATACTCGGTCTTGGTGACAGCAATACTCATGTTTTCCAAGTCATGTCCACGTACAGAACACGTGTATGTTCTACGGACGGCAAGGTCTTTCTTCCCCAAGACTCCAACTAACTCGGTCGTTATGGGTTTCTTTAATACTAGGAATAATAAACAATAAATATGTAGGCAATCGTCCACCGCCATTTTCAGTGACTGACTTACCTTTAAGTGGAGGATTGACTACGCATTTCAAAAAGTCAATACTTTCACCAAAACACGACTGGCCGCCATTACGTGGGGAGGGTGCGTTACAGGCACGATAACGTTCCTTAACACCAGCGCCTAAACTAACACTACAAGTAGACCAACTAGACCAGCTACTCCAGTTACCATGAATCACACCGTCATTTAACCAATCAGCTTCACTTGACCAAACGTTTTGCTTGTTTACTGAAATAACATCATAAGTGCATTACTTACAGCATCCAGCCTTTCCCTCCTGATAATACTCTTATAATACCGGTGAACCCATAATTTTAACGAGGACTGCTACTCTCAAGTTGTTATATCAACCATACCTGTACATTGTTTCAATTCTATTGATTTTCCTTTGCAATCACGTTCATTGCATGTGTTGACGCATTTCCTTTTACGGCATTGACAGACGTTGCCATCTTGTTGATGACAAACCGTCCATGGTGACCATGGTGACCAGACAGCTAAATCAAATAAAATTCACGTTATGAAATGAGAAACGTTTTCTAATTTAATTGAATCAACTTTGAATTTCTGCTTATCGTGAGTATCGTAAACACTTACCTTTGATTAAAGGACACTGCCCGAGGTTTTGCTGCCAACCGTGATCCCTGTAAAATAATACATAATGTTTTACTATTTCTTTAATTACTTCACACAAGCAAAATAATGTTTTGTTTTTTAATCTAAAATGTCATGAAACGTGTGGATTATTACTGAAGTGAAAAGTTTGTTTTCATACCTATTTTTCCATGACGTGCAACCCCTTGAACTCCAGCCACAGTAAGGGTCACTTGCTTGTAGGCATGATCTACGACAAACAATAAAACTTAAGAAGGCAGTGACTCATTATCTCACGGAATTACAGCGGGAATCAATACATGTTAACGGAAAACATTATCACAAGCCAACAAGCATCACTGCGACACAGGCTGTAACGTCGCGAAACTTACTTTTTGTCTTTGTGCTTGCTGCAGCGAGCAAGTTGTAATTTCACCAGCTTATTCGGGGTAGTGACATACAAATAACCCTGAAATAAATCCAGACAGTATTAAGAATGCCATACAATGTTTTATGCAATATCATCTTACTGACTGGAAGTGTTGCCAGCCCTCCCTTTCGACATACTACATAACCAACACAAACGTAGCAAGATCCACTAAGTGATAGAAGGAAGCTTACTTTTTCAGTATCCAAATGCATTTGGTTAACTTTTCCTTTCTCTCCATCCTAAGATTAAAATACACAATGATAAATGACAGACCTCGGTGATCGAGTACACCGTGAATGGGTGATTGAGTACACTGAGATTGTACGTACTTCATAAAGTTTGATTTCTTCCACGACACACGTCCCATTGTATGCATTAGGTTCAAATAACTTTAATATCGAGGCTTTATCTGTGAATAGAAATCAAATATGATTAGACAATATCAGACAATATCAGATGAATAATGGTACTAACCTGTACCGATATATATGACCGTTTTGTTGTTCACATTATCAACAGCAATATTCTTGAACCTTTTAGACAGAGAAGGATTATTAGAAACGTTGAAACATGTGAAACAAATAAAACTGAATGGATGGATGAAAGAAAGAAAGAAAGACAAATGGGAAGAGTATCTTACCGTTGTCCTAATTTGATGTATTGTGCTGTGATTGTCTTTGGTTTAACCTTTTGGTCCATAAGCTGGTAAGTCTTGGAGTCTTTGAGAGCTTGTGACGTCATGATGCGAGTAGMCATCATTCCATCAGGCACAAATCGCTTTTTTTTATATTCAGGATAAGACAGCTGACTGGATGGTTTAACGGTACACTGTAACAAAAATACAATGTCACCTCACACGCAGGGACTAAATCGATGTAAAAAAACTTACATTTTCAAAATGGTGGTTATTTTTCCCTGAAATCCATCGTTTGGTTGTTGAATCGTATAACTTGTAGTCTCCGTGAAATGCTTGTGCTATTTCTTGTAAGGAGTACGCACAAATGGCCGATGCATCAACACCATTCCTACAAAACGAACAATTATCTTTAAAACTTCTTACCAAAATAAACTCACCAAGACTTGTACTTACGGTTGTGTTGTGAAAACTGCGTAAAACGTGGACGATTTCTCGTCCCAAAACACGTCCCCTGCAGACCAAATAAAACATAGTTAGAAATATAATAGATTCAAGAAACCCACCAACCATACTTACGGATTTCAGTAAACTGTGTTGGATAAGTGCCTGGTGTAGAACAATCTAATCTAGCCTTGTTGAAAGTTACAAAGTTTTTCTTAAGAAGGAACTGGCTTCCACCATAGTCACCCTGAAAAACAGCAATATTAACACTATTAAGCTGTACATATCTGTCTGACAGTCAATGTACTATTGGTCCGTCTGACCCTCGTTATGTGCCCGTCTGTCTATCGACCATATTTTCTGTGTGTATTGTTGGTCTGTCTGACAGTCAATGTACTATTGGACCGTCTGACCCTTGTTATGTGCCCATCTGTCTATCGACCATATTTTCTGTGTGTATTGTTGGTCTGTCTGACAGTCAATGTACTATTGGTCCGTCTGACCCTCGTTATGTGCCCATCTGTCTAACGACCATATTTTCTGTGTGTATTGTTGGTCTGTCTGACGGTCTGTATGTGCCCGCCTTGTCTGTCGCCCATATTTTGAGTGTATACTATTGGTCTGTCTGAATCGATATGTGCCCGTCCGTCTGTCAGCCATATTTTGGTGCATACTATTGGTCTGTCTGACGGTCTGTCTGTCATTTCTAACCACGCATGGTTTACCTTACAAATCCTCGCCACGGTCGAGACACGGGTTTTACTATATTCATTCTCGATTGCATCTTCGCGGAAGAAGAAATAGATGTACTTATCGATGTTGAAGGTTTTCACAAACTCAGAGCCTTCAAGAAAATCAACGCAAAGTTCTTATCATTGGTTAATCCTCAAAACATGTAAGGATTCTGATACCTACCACTAAGCCAGTTCCTGTCATTCCGGTTTGTCTCTAAGATACGAGAACGTCTCTTGAAATCCATGCTAAAGATGGTAGGTGTACGAGCACCTACGTCTAGCATTGTACCAGCGTAATATCTTCCTTGTTCTATAGGATATAATACGTTAATAACAAATAAACGTGCTATGTTCACAGTAGGGATGGATCCGTTTTGAACAACCTGGGCGTGGCGATATGATAGATAGAGTGAAGGTGTGTAATACCTGAGATTATCCCTGTACTGTAGAATTTAGGACTGTAAGGAACCAGTCCTACTCCATCAAAATTGTCTCGAAAAACGTTTCCTTTGTCATCACTTCCTGTTGCTCCCGATAAATCAGTTAACTACAGAAAGAAAGACAAATTCATTTTTAACCTTGGACAGACATCAATATTACCATAAGACAGACTTACATTCTTCCAAGTACACTGCGGGTAGTAGGCGTTTGTGCCGCAAATTAAAAGTCTGCCTTGGAATGGTTGCAAAACTTGTATGAAATTGTAACATTCGTCCTGTACAAAAACAGAATTTTTAGAATGAAGGAGCTACAGAGCACGGCATTATGGGTATTACTAACCTTTCGACTAATCATCATACAATTACTAGCATGGTTTATCGTAGAAGACCAATTCATCACCTATAAATAGTCATGTTTACATTAGTACAAATAAACTGATATCGCAGCAGGTGAACATGTATGGAATGGAGGTACTTTAAATGGAAACCGCTTTGGTCTGGTGAATCTTGTTTTGCTTTCATTAAGAAAATAGTCATAAGAACACACAGAGAGATCTACTGGTAATCTAACCAAGTCAGATAAGAAACGACTTATTCAGGTGTTCTTGATTTGGAATGCCACAGATAAATGGATGAACGGATAAATGAATGGGAGGAAGAATGAATGGAAGGAAGAATGGAGGGAAAACAAGGCATTTTAAGAGCCTGTAAAAACTGTAAAAATCCTGTAAAAATAGGGCGGTTCCAACATTACACGAATATGCGCGGCTAACGCTATTCCTTCATACAGGGCAATACATAACACACTGAATAGGAGACTAGTCGGTTTAGTGTTGGTGGTGCCGTGGTATGTATACTTACTCGTGTGACTGTAAAACTGTCTTTGTCTATTTGCAAGACTTGATTCCTGAAATAACAAGAACAACAACGACCAATGAAGATTTGATATTTGTGAAAACAAAAGTGAAGGTAAGATAAGCATAATAAAAGGGGGCAAGTTTTATTTGCATTAAATCAGTTTATTGTTTCAAGTGCTGATATATGTTTATAGTCTTAAAACAAAGAAGATTACATTACTGAGCTTTACCGGGGATTTTTCTATTATTGAGGATTTATTTACTAATCTATCATTTTAGTATCTTGAGCTTTGATTTCTATATCATGGTTGAATAAAGTGTCGAGTAAATGGGTTTATTATCTTTTCATCTATGAAGGTGCTTCTAATGTCAGTGAAAAGCGAGTCCACAGAATCAAAGCAAGATATTTTAGTATGATTAATCTCAAACGTGATCTTTTTGTTTTTGTGGTAATCAGCTTCACACACCGATCTGCACAGTGTGTAATGTACTATATTACGACAAACCAACGGTTGATAGTTGAACTATGCACTCCTTAAAAGATGTACAATAATTATTCAAGCTGTCCTGCCTGTACAACAATGTGTAGTTTACAATCGCTGCAGCAGAAGTCGTGGGAGTATACGTTGCTGTTTGAATGCTACTAATCGTTGACAGGCATGCAGGTCAATTAGTTAAGTCGTATTTTCAATAAGAGGTCGTCTGTAGGAATGGTCAGAATCCGAGATCCATAACTTATTGTGATTTTATCAGCGTTTACAGAAGAGTTCGTGGAATGTTTAGAAGGAAACATGAAACATGCTTTTTTCGATTTGTTTTGAAATATTAATATTTCGACAGCATTTCCGATATTTTTAGTTTTATTTTTTGTAAAACGCAATGATGTCATAGATGCTGTTATTCTTCCGATTGTTACTAGACGAGAGCGTGTTCTGGGATCGGTATTTCTTACACTACTAAGGGGTTCCCAAGTCAAGACATTGCTCAATTATTCTTAATTCATGACCTTTTTGCAAACATCACTATTTTCCAATTAAAATGATAAAAATAGTGTCGTAGAAAGGTTTGAGAGTTAAATTTACTTTTAACATGGAATTCACCCCACATTTGCTTTACATTGTTGTTCACTGCCGGAAGAATGTTGTCAACCTAAATCGTGTTTTATTTATGCCGTAGCAATGTTTCACAGTTTTGCATCAGTCTGAAACATGGTAGTAACATAGTTCACATGTGGTTCACATGGGATCAAAGATCAGTATTATCTGGGGGCTTAGAAGGTACTTGATCTGCATTATTTTAGGGATCAGGAATAACATATTTAGCTTGTAGGCAATTGTTGTTCAACTTTGTGAATTTGATGATCAAGGATTCTAATTTCAGCTGCAAGATCAGACCCTGTGTTGTCGAACAAACTTTACTTTAGCATCTTACAGGGCAGGGTATTAATGATAGTCATCTGTCTCCCATATGTCTTACCACCAAATGAGTGTGCAGATAATGGTGTACATCAGTCATGACAGAGATCTCAGTGGTTGGTGGAGTTGCATTACACATTAGCCCCACCTAAATGAGGTCCTAACCATGAACATCAGCCCCACCTAATTGAGGTCCTAACCATGAACATCAGCCCCACCTAAATGAGGTCCTAACCATGAACATCAGCCCCACCTAATTGAGGTCCTAACCATGAACATCAGCCCCACCTAAATGAGGTCCTAACCATGAACATCAGCCCCACCTAA